TACTTGGGAGCATAGTTGATGATAATATTGTCATACATGTCTTTTTTAATGGAAAGAATGGGATAGCCTGTTGCTCCTACTATCAGGAACGATCATCATGGTGCCTACAGGAATGGAAGGTGAATAAGACCAATGGGCAGGTTTAGCTCGACTAAGCTTTAGGCCAGCCTAGTCAGTGTCATTAATCTATTTTAGATCCAGGAGGAATAAGGACTCCCGGTATTACAACAGAGAAATCAAGGAGGCAATCATAGACTTCACATATGCAGAAAAAACTTTAAGACAGAACCCTCGAGAATCTGGCACTCCTGAAAAATTGCATGGTATGACAGGTCACCCCGTCCACCGTACCCAGAGCAGGAAGAGGGTTGACACTGATCATGTTCTATCCTATATCTCTAGGTAGTTCTTAAGGCTAAGACCCTTCAGTTGGCAAACCTTCTTGTCATTTGAAGGCCATAACAAGGAAGGGATGCAGAGGCAAGCTCTTGATCTGATCGGGGAGGATAACCGTTCTGTAACCTGTCAATTGATGCTCATCTTTGCGACATCCGATCTGGTCGATTAACGTTTATGATTAATTTTCCCTCTTTTGTGCTATATCCCTATTGTAAACGCATTGGGTTTGATTTTCAGCAATAAGAGTAGCACGATGAATAATTTGGACGATCTAACCCCTTCTTTTCCATTGACATATAGTTTGGTATATTTTATAAATTGGGGATGCAGTTTAATGCAGAGATAATGTGGATAATAGCAAAATCTGTATAGATAAGTATGCCTTGAAAATATCTGGGAGTGCATTAATCAGTCGCGGTTGGCTATTTTTAATTTATACCCTATTCATGTGGTAACTTGGCTTAATATTCAGCTTTCCTTTGACGGACTGTCTGGTAGGTGGGGGCGTCCAAGCTTCTGCGGGATGCAAGATAATCTACAAAGCTTGCTTGATGGTTTTCTTGGCTATCGACCAGCATCATTTGGCCATATTAACATAGCCAACCTAGATGATTAAGTCAGTGGATCCTATTCATTATTTCAAATCTGGATAAGAGTATAAAGTTTTGTCTCATTTAGAAAGTGATTACTTTATGGATTATTTTTTCATTATGTGATAAAAGATTTGATGCTGTAAAACCTTTACTTGTTAATCGGAAGTACTATTTCAAAATTTGCCGTTTGTTGGTGAATTTCGGGCATATTGTTAGGATGTGGTTAGGCTGGTGTTGCAAATTTGGCACTGGGGGGGGGGGGATTCTTTTCTATATAGGATATTGTGAGGTGGGTCATTTTAGTGGCAATGACCCTAAAACGGGCCAACATCACCTCACTTCTTACATAACTGTGGGCTGTGTCCACAATTCTATATTTAGTATGACTTTGTCTTACTAAATACTTTACAGGTTGGTCCACTCACTTTATTACAGTAGATGGATTTTAGCTTTTGTAAGGGAGCCAAAACACCTGAGATTTGTACGGTCCAGCCCACCAGTTAACCCGGCTGATTTGTCAGCCTGCTCATTACCATGGATACCAGAGTGGCCTGGTACTTATTTTGGCTTGGTTGATTTCTTGGTACTATGCAGCTTACGAATATTAACCAGTAGTTCATTTTTAGTGGTTTTAATGATTTGATGGGGAATCAGAAAATACAATTATATCGTGGGTAGTTGTTAGTGCAAAATCTAAAGCTTTATTAATAGCAAAAAGTTCGGCAATAAGAATCGGAGTATGATCCAGCAGTCTGAAACCACACACTCATCTCTCTTGGAGACATCGGTATATATATGAAAATTGGAAGGTGTTTGATAAAGATCTCTCTGAACCTCTGGAGTACTTCTACCTCCGGCGCCATGGCCTAAGTTGAGGGAAGCCAGGCTTCCATAATGGAAAAAATAGGGGTTGTCCTAATGCCCCGATTGTCATTAGGATGGCTTAGGTCTCGAGCTACCTTTGCGGCATAGGTCAGTGCAGGATGGCCGCGTCTGAATCGGAGGGGAGTTACTCCTGAGTCCACCTCAAGACGCTCGATCCGAGTACATTTCAGGACTCCAGACACACATGCAAACAAGCATTCTACACAATATCCAAGTCTACCAAAATTGAGTTCGATGCCGAGCCATACACAATTGATCCATTTTCTAGTTTAGACCTAGCAGACTTTCTATCAACTCCCCATTTAAGACCAGAAATGCACTTTAATAAATTCAGTACTCTTTGATATTTATTCTTTAATTAACCAATGTGGTATTTCCAATTGAGTCTACGATCAGAGTGTAGACCAAGAAATCTAGCAGTTTTATGAAAAGGTATTGGTGATTGTTTAGAGTTAGCCTGATGTTTGGCTTTCTCCTATGTGAAAAAAATACCCAAATAATCTTTCTTGTGGAAAACATAAAACCCCACCGGAGACCTCAATTATGAATCATATCCAGTGGATGCGATTTGCCGAGAATTCTGCATCGCTGCTGGAATGCGATAATAAAATATCAGCGTACAATGTTTTTTCAAGATTCCGAGGGGGAGCTGGTAAGATCTAATTGATCATACACTGAAATAATTTGGTGACAAGACACTTCCTTGTGGGACCCGTTTGCCTGGACAAAAAATTTCGAAAAGTGACATTGTCAGAAAACAATCTGACAGTGAAAGTTCTGTCCAGAATGAAATTTTGTATGGTGGTTAACGTGAAGATTACGTTTTATGGAGTTTAGAAGTGCCTTATCCGCCGAATTTAATTTACTTTTTTTCTGGTAGGGAGGCTCGTCCTCCTCTCCCGGGGCCTCCATGGGTATTTTTGGAGACAATAGCTCCATGTCCTGCGTCTCGATGTCAGGGAGACGCCCATTAGAGGATATTCAGCAGTTTGTTGAATTGCATTAATCAATTCTTTAATTTGATCAATTAATTCCTTAAAGATACTCTTTGCTGCTGAAGCGTAGGAAGTATTGGGTTCAACTTTCCTCTTGGTTTCACGGTAACTAAGATCCTGCCATCTCATGTATGCTAATATTTCAGTATCCTTCCATCTACTGCACTCGGCAGAGCCAGATTGTAGGGGATCTCCACAGTTAGCACACTTGAAAGTATTCTCGGTACATTTATTTGTTTTCTTTTAATATAGGGTCGCACTTGGACACATTCATATCCAACTGTGACATACCCACGAATTTTACTTGAAGCAAAAGTAAAAAGAAAAAAAACACAATCCGGTCATGCTGTTCACGTCCACTACGCTGTGATCCTTCATATTTTCAGCAGGTCCACTCTCCCCCCATTGTCCTCAAATCCCTGTTACAGATTACTCCTTTACAGGTACTTGGGCCAACAGGGACAGTTACTTTTATTTTCAATCATGAATCTGCGTCAGTTTAATTAAATCACTAACCTGGTAGTTGAAATGCACTTAACAAAGAGACTACCATCTCATAATTCTCGAACAAAATCAAAATCGCCATCCACTTGGCCATCAAGGACCTTATTGATGATGAAGGGGCTAACGTTCAAAAGCGATTGATTTTCATGCACACGTTCTTTAAAGGAATTGCAAAAACTCGTTCTTCACTTTTGTCAGCAGTAGGGATTCCATTGTTCAAAGTCGCGTTAGTTTAGGGGTGTACAGGGCATTAGTCCAAACCCTGGGCACTAACAGCATTAGCAAAGAGTGCGTCTAGCAACTTTCCGCCCTCAATCCCTCTCAGTGGAAGCCTGGTTGCGTTCTCCAGTAGCAAAGGGGGGTTATGTTATGTGGAAGACACCTTATCGCCGAACTTGCCTAGGCTCCCGTATTCGATGCGAATACAGGAGCCCACAACGGACCTCCGGTAGGCTCAGGAAAGTTACGGAGAGGAAAAGAATTCAGTACAAAAGAAAAAAGTGCGCCCAAAGGACGCCCCAGATTATTGGGCCTCCCATCCCAGGGATCAAGGCTCGCAAAGGCTACCCTGGTATATAGTGCTGCGGTCTGAGGTGGCGTTTTGACTACGCCTACTGTAGTTTCGGGTTACCTGCATAATCGAAGCATGAAGGTGCAGGCAAAGCACTAGAAAGTGTTGCAAAATCCATAAGAGAGCTGCTTCACTAGAAGCAATGGCCTCGGACTCCCAGAGCACTCCTGCGTCAGGCTTTTTATTTATTGCCGCTGGGTTTTTGTTATCAAAGGTTCGGGCATAGGTTCTCTTACACGAGTGCGGCTCTATCACTCTAGCACTATTTCGTCAACTAGTTTCTATGATGAGTTTCATATATAAATTATAAGAAATTGCCCAAAAGTAATCATAATTTTCTTTATTTCATTTATAGATAAAAAAATATAAAGATCTTTATCCGGAAAGTTTTTAACTTGGTTGTACTTGTTCTGTTAAATGTTATTTTGACTTTTTTATTTATTTATTTATTATTTTTTTTTAAATAAAGATGAAGAAACATCTATATGATTTTAGTTTTTTGATATTTTAAAAATCCCTTATATATTTTTCTTCAGAGATCACTGATGCCCATCAAGATTTTTTTGCTCGCCGCACACTGTTAAGGGATCTTCAGGAGACAAGATTTTTTTTTTTTTGCATGGGGGGGGGGGGGGGTCGTGAAATTGCTGTTGAGTATCACAAAATTTAGTTCCAGATGTAAAATATGATATCCTGAATTTAAGATAAAAATAAAAATCAACACCCCTCATATGAACTTTTATTATATTATTCATGATAATGATGATGATGATGATAAAGTTAATTACGTGTAGACAATAATGCTAATAGTGATATTTATAAGGACAACGGCTATGGTAAAAGAATGCGATGGTAAATGTAATGATGTTAAAGATATCAAGAATACAATAATGACAAAATGTTAGCAGTATTTATTGATACAAAAGCAAGAATATAATTATGATAATAAGAATGATAACGATAATCTTGATGGTAATGATAACATTAACAATAAAGACGACGACGATACTTGTAATGATGAGGGCAATGCCTGTAATGATAATAGTGGTGATAATGTTAATGACAGTCCTGAGAAGATCCTTCTTTTCGGACCCCCCCCCCTGCGCGAACGGGTGGCAGCACCCGAGCGTCGTTCGGGGAGAGGGCACCAGATGGCACCAGAGGGCACGGCAGTTGTTGCTGCTCCCCGA